CGGCCATCCCTGGGTGCGAGGCTATTCCCAGCCGGGGGTGAGATGGGTGGGCGACACGGATATTACGTCGGGGTCACCAGATGTGAGTTTTCCATGGGCCGCCCATGAGGTCAAAATTGAGGAAAGACACAGACATGAGTTTTCTCGGGATGAGATGACCCAGATCTGACTCCGGGAGCCTCTTTTATTGAACACAAACAAAGGCAGGAGGGGTTTGTTAGAATAAGCCAATAACATATTACAGCATGTCTCATGTAATGCATACGTAAATACAAGTAATACATGGAAGCAATGCCCATATTTGGGAAGATCTACAATCCTAGCTGCTAGTGAATTGTTGCAGCCCTTATCTATGAGTTGTTCCAGCCCTTATCTAGTTTTTCGCATATGCGGTACAGCATGATTCTCTCATGCCTGTGCGTAGCTCTTGAGCATGTTACAACACCTGGAGGCTGTGGGGATCTGGATGGAGGACAATGGGCTTTGGCTGAACCCTGGTGGAACAGCTGTGAATACGTGGAGTCTTGGGATCCAGAGATTTCTCATCCTTAATCCTGGATGTCTGCCCCAGATAGACCCAATGCAAAATTTACTTAGAACAAAGAAAACTGACTGCAGGAAAATCCCAAACATGTTTAAACTCATTTACTGATGATTTGGCCAGTGCTTCCACTGGAAGTTGGTTCTAAGTTTCCACTACTCTTTCTGTGAAGCCACCCTTTCTGACATGACGTTTGAACTTTCCTCCTGTCTGAGGTTATGCCTCCCCAGGATCTTGATTTTTGCATAATATTGAAAATGCTGCCTTCTAGAACCGTATTCTGTTATATTCTAATTTGGGGTTTCTCCTAGACTTCTAGATCTCCTGACTCCTGCTCAAGGAATAGGTGGCTTTTGTGGCTAGGAAACCGTTTGTGCAACTTTGTGCGTTGCACCAATTGTCCCTTCTTTTGGATCATGAGGCCCAGTACACAATCAATAATGCCCTGTTCATCTTGTGTTTGGATTATTGCAACACGCACTATATGGGCAGAGTAGCTATTATTGCACTATATGGGCAAGAAGCTATTATTGGTCCAGAATGCAGCAACCTGAACAGGAACAACTGCAAACCCCATCAGCCAAGGAATTTAAGGTGGCAGGGTCTAGGAGAAGAACCTTCCCCCCCTCATCCCCCCAGCCCCTGTTCTTTGGAACCTCTTGCCTCACCTGGCTCTGCAGTTGGCCTGGGACCCTGATAGGGAAGTTGTAGGCTGGAGGTGGTTGGTGCAGTGATAGAGAAGGCATTTCCCCTGCTTCACCCTAAACTCGTCTTTTACTCTGCTTTTAATCTTTTGTAACCTTAATTGGTAGTGGTTTCTATATTTCTATTTTGTATTGTATTGTAAGCTGTCTAGATCAAAGGTGGTATTCAGCCAATTCGCACTGGTTCGTGCGAACCATTGACGGAAATTTGGCCAAGGTTGTTGAACCGGTAGCGATGGCCGGCTGGCCACGCCCCTAAACCGGTCCCCCGGTCGCCACTCGCTCGCCCCACCTGCCATGTTCGTCACTGCCATGGTCTTCACGCACGCGTGTCCCATTGCCTTGCAAGTCCAATGGGATGCGCATGCATGAAGAACATGATGATGACGGCAGTAGCTTTTTCCGTGATCTCTGGTACTTTTTGGTGGCCTGCGGCCAACTGCCGCCTCTTTAACAGCTGCTTTGTGCCTGTGGTGGCTGGCTGGGGGTCACCAAAAACTCTGCTCAGCTTGCCTTCTGGACCCTGGACCAGCCGCCACGGAAGGCAAGCAGCCCAAAGAAAGAGGCAGTGGTGGGGGAGGAAGTGGGGGCTAGGGCCGGGGCCACTAAAGGAGGGGAAACAGGGGTGACTGGTGAAGGGAGTGCGGGGGTAGATAGGTGGAAATTCCAAACCTTTTCCTACCTTTTCCTGTGGGCGTGGCTAGGGGGGGTTATGTGACTGAGTGGGCATGGGCGTAAGTGATGTCAAGTTGGCCATGCTCACTCAGTCACATGCCCCCCCCACCTAGCCACGCCCACCCAACCGGTAGGGAAAATGTTTGAAACCCACTACTGGTCTAGATCCTAAACCCTATCTTTAATTTTCTTTTGCTACAGGAAGTGGGGGTAAATGTTACTTCTAGCTTTCCTTGCAATCTTTAGTTTTCCTAGCTCTGCAGATATTAGGGACTATTTGTTGGTATGCCTTCTTGGAAATTGCACCCATCTTCCACCTCCTGTTAATCTTTTCTTTGCACTTTTAAGCAACTTGTAACTTCCTCTTGGCTTGTAACTTAATTAAGCGCTCCTTATGCATCCAGAACGTGTCTCTATCCTGAGTCCCATCTTTGTCCTCACTGGAAAGATGTCGGATTGATTGCACTTTTATTCCCTTATGCTTGAGAAATTACCAACTCTCCTGATTTTTTTGCCCATGGGGTCTCATCCAGGACTTCCTTAAGCTTACTGAAACCAGCTGCCCTGAAGCCCAGTGCATACCTGTGCTTCTGTGTTCCTTTCTTGGTCACTTTCTTCCAGGCTTCCCTCTGCTTTTCCCACTCCAGGCAGCAGGATCAGAGCTAAGAGTCCCAGTCCACCCCCTCGTTCCTTCTTCAGCCTTCTGGAGAGTGAAACCAGCCACAGAACCACCCAGGGAGACCTGGCTATCTTGGCCAAGCTAGTTGTCCAGCAAGGCTCCCAAGAACTGAACTTTCCCATTTGGGCTAAGTCTCTCCTCCATGGGAGTTTTGTAATCAGGTCCTGTAGCACCTCGCTACAATAACCCATTTGTTTCTTGCCTCCTCTCTGTTCTGCCTTGAATGTTCTTGTGTTCAGATTCACAGATGTCAATACATGTGAGAGAAAAGTTATCTCATGGTTTGCTGTGTCTATTGATTGGCTTTGATTGGCTTCTGGTTCGAATGTTTGAATGGACCAATCAGTGCGTAGCTATTGACTCTGAGTTTCCCGTGCTTTGTAACTGACACTCACTTAGTATATAAGGAACTGCTCTCCAGCAGGAAGCATACACGCCAGCTAGCAAGCAAGCAAGCTCACACGCACACGCACTCGCACACGCTTGCATCTACTTTGCATCTTGCCTGGGTCAGAGACAAAGAGCTGAAGTCACTGATGCCTCCTCCTGAGGAAGGAAGACCCGAAGAGCTGAATGAACATTGCTGAAAGTCAGATGACTACTGATATTCTTTTGTAGATTTTGTTTTGTTGTTTTTATTAAACTAGTTTGTTTTAAACTTCTCTCTGACTCGTCTGTTTGGTGCATTTGTAAGCGGATAAGGTTACGGTCTACAAAACCTCCACGACAATACATAAGTGAGCTTCCTCTCTAGTCTGGCTTGTTCCGTGATACTCTTCATTCCTTGCTTTCCACTGCTGGATTTCATCTCAGAGGCTCCACAAAGGCCTACAGAGTCACATTTGCCTACCGCATAGCTTTTGTCAAAGAGGCTTTTGCATGACAGAAAAAGAATGTGATGACCAGGGGCTGGGCACGGAAGCAACACAGCAGGAACGAAGGCTTAACTCCCTTTATTGTTCCAACTTTCCTCCAACAGTCCCACCATTCACTGCAAGTTCAGGAGCCAATCTCTAAACATGCACCTCCAATAGTTCCTGGCTGCTATTAGTCCAGGGGAGCAGCACAGTTCTGAGAGCAGCCACAGTTCAGGGAATTTGGTTCCAGGGAGTCCTCGTCACAGGAAGAGTTCACTGGGACTGCAACACAGCCCAGAGTAGAACTGTGTTGCTGCGAACTGAGACATAGCCAGGCCAGGCAAGCAAGGCAAGCAGGGCAAGGCAAGGCACAGCAAAGTATCCAGATGTTGGTAACAGCATGTGAGACAGGAGAAAGGCTATGCTTGTTCCCAACAATTGCCCCTCCCAATGGCATCTCTTTAAACCTCATTCCCCAGGTGAGCTTTGTGAAGAGGGCGGGCGCCCTCCTTCCGAGTCGGGTCGCCCTGCGCTGATCCCACTTCCTCTCCATTCTCCACACTCAGGGATGGGGAGGGGAAGGTAATTGCTCATCACTGGAGCTCCATTGCTCCTCTGCTCTGCTTCCTGCCCTCTCCTCCCCTATCGCTTGGTCGTCTTGCGTCCTCTCTCCTTCACTGGCGACCCTTCCCTGGCGTGCTGCTTAGACAGTAAATAGATAGTTTAGTAACATTTGAGGCAGAACACCAGGCCTGAGTGACCTGGAACTGCCTCGTCCTGGTCCTGTGGTTGCTCCTCTGTCACCCCTCATCCAGGCTCCAATGGGGCCATGACACAGAAGATATAAACTGCATTACCAACCCGTGTCAAGCTGTTGCCACTTACAGGATGCCCCTTGAACAACAGGAATATACTAGACTATTTTGTCCATTTGGGCCACAATGCCACAAGGGCAATCCAAGTTGTGGGGGTTTTTTTTTACTTCCTAGGAAGAGAACAAAATAGATTGTTTTGGTTGTAAACCCAATCAATAGGAATATTAATTATGTAAAATTATTTATTTATCTGGTTATTTTTTTGTTGATTCAACCTTGCTTGTGTATGGTAGGATTGTAGGGTAGGGTCATTTGTCCAGAGTGGTATAGGGTCTCCTGCTTGAACAGGGGGGTTGGACAGGACCTCCAAGGTCCCTTCCAACTTTTTATTTTGTATAAACCTCTGAGTATCATCTGTCAGCATGGGTTTAAGTACTTCTGGTGTGCTGAGTTATAGTTACAGTGTACTCAGTTACAGATCTCTTTCCTTGCTGTCCAAATTGAGGCAGGTGGTCATGGGAATGTGGGAATGTGTTAAATAAACAAATATTAGCCATCGCTCCATGATTCTGAGTTAAGCGAGGCATCTGAGGTCCGGCTTCCGTGGTCAGCCAGACCTTCAAATTTAGCATAAAGGCAAAGGAGCCTGGGAAAGGGTGCTGAGTTGGAGGAAATACAATGAACACTAAATGTACACTAAATGCTATAATGCTTTTCTTTCTGTCCCAGTTGCTGCCACAGAACCACTCCGGACTGCCTTCTAATAACACGTCTCCCTGCTCGGAGAGTGCAGACTTCCAGTACATCCTGTTTCCTGTGGTGTACAGTTTGGTCTTCCTCCTTGGCCTGGGGGGGAATCTCTTTGTGTTGGGTTACTTCCTCCGGACCAAATCAGCCATTGCCCCGGCCAATGTCTTCCTGGTGAACCTGGCCATTCTTGACTTGCTCTTTGTGCTGACCTTGCCCTTCCGCATCACTTACCACGCCCACCATAATGACTGGACCTTTGGCGAAGCCTTCTGCAAAATCACCGGCTGCCTCTTCTTCGCCAACCTCTATGGCAGCTCCCTCTTCCTGGCCTGCATCTGCCTCGAGCGCTATGTAGCTGTCGTCCATCCGCTGAAGCACCTCCAGTTTCGGCAGCTGCGTTACCGCCTGGTGGCTGCTCTGGGCGTGTGGCTGGTCCTCATCACGGCCATCCTGTTCCTGGCCCTCCGTGGGTCCCTGACCAGCCCCTTCGCCGATGGCCGCACCGCCTGCCTTGAAAACTTCTCCTCCAGTTCCTGGAAGGGGCGCATCTCGGGCATCAGTATCTTTGCTGCCGTGATTGGCTTCTTGCTGCCTCTTCTTTTGATCGGTGTCTGCTACCCGCTGATTGCCTGGCGCCTCCTGGCTTCCCCTGGATTGCAGGCAAGCTCCCGAGCAGCGAGACGCAAAGCCCTGCGGACGGTGCTGGTGGTCCTTGGGGTTTTCCTGGTCTGCTTTGCACCGTATCACATTGTGCAGCTGGTGCACACGTTGGGCCGGGTGGGTGTCCTGGGTGACTGCACCCTCGTCCGCGCCACCTACGTGGCTCGTCGCATCACTATGGCGCTGACCAGCCTCAATGCCTGCCTGGACCCACTGGTTTATTATTTTGCTGCCGAGCGATTTGCTCGGCAACCAGGCTGGTGGAAGTGTGGCTGTTGTCAGCCAGAGAGCCCCCAACGGCCTCTGGGGCTCCCCAGGTTGATTGCCAGCAAGTCTTCTTCTTCTGGAGAAGCCACAAGGGCTGGCACAGAGCAGTGAGCAGAGAAAATCTGTCCCTCGACTTGACAGCCTTGTCTGTTCACACCGCGTGAGAGGAACGGAGACACATCACAGTTACACAGGTCTCAAATTAGTGCTTGTACCAGGAACGGACTGGAAATGAGCGAGCAAAGGACACTCAAGATGGTGCTTATGTGCTGCCTTCACCTAATTCCAGGAAGGGTCCTTCGAACACGATCTGCCTAAGGACGCGATGGGTCTCCATCTCTTTCCCGCTCCCTTCATTGTGAGGCTCTTCTCATGGGGGTTGCTCTGCTGTGTCTGCTGGGAATGATTAGGGTAGGGATAGATACTGTTAAAATCATTTTTTCTTATTCAAACCCCTTTTAAGTAGAGGAGGGTAGATGAGGCTTTTAATTTTGGAGCTGTTTAGAGGCCTCACCTTGCAGGCCCCAACCCCAGACTCTCGTTTGATGGGAGGAAAAAGACGGTCCTTGGATGAAGCAGAATCACTGAACCCCAACCCCTGCTTTTACTCTTTTTGGCTGCCTTCTAAAAATAAATATTTTACTTTTTTGAGAAAATGTTTGTAAGGGCAAAAAAATCAGAAGGAATATTATGAGCTGCAATTTGCTAATTAACCTGGAAAATGTTACATATAATATAGCTACAATTTATGTGGTGACAATCAAAATTTTCAAACCAATAACGTAGCATGCTAAGATTTGGGCAAAAACGCTGAAAAAAGGGGTTAAGGGTGAAGGCTAGAGTTACGGTTAGGTGTTAGTGCTATGGTTTGGGTTGGGTTTAAGGGTTAGAATTAGGGTTTTGGTTAAGGGATAGGGTTAGGGTAGGGATTATTGTTAAGGGTTAGAGGTTAGGGTCCCCAGCTACTGCTATCTTTTCCACCCTGTTTCTTGGGGGGGGGTCTCCTTGTGCATCCCAAGGGAGCCTGAGCAAGAATGCCAGAGAAGGCGAGTGTCCCAGCAGCAAATCTCTACTTTCAACAGACCACCATGCTCTTGGCTGGGGCTTCCTGGGCTAGGAAGAGGCACCGGCCAGATTGAGGAGGGCCTCATCTGGCACAGCCGACTTAGCCGGGGGGCACCACCTTGGGAAAGACTGGCTCTGGCAAGGAGGCCAATTCGCCTGTACGGAGACTGAGGCCGTGCTGTTTGGTTCTCCTGCCTTCTTTTAGATAGACACCTCAAGGTGGGGAACTGCTATTGCCTTCACCTATTTTCCTCACAACAACAACCTTGTGAGGTGGGCTGGGCTGAGAAAGGAGGACCGGTCTCCAGCAACCATTGATGCTGAAGGTCTTCTGGTTTTTAGACGAGCACCTTTAACCACCCCAAATATCCTGGAGCCCTTGGAATGGCCATGCTTGCAAGTTCTTTCCTGCCTCAGTCCTGAGGCCAGAGGAGAAGCTTTGTCTTTTTGGACTGACTGCAGGAGAAGATCAGGAAATACACCTTGAAATAAACCCACCTTGCCAAGTGTGCAGATAAATGGTTCTTTGAGAATCCAAAGTCATTGAACACAGCAGTGAATAAGGAGATTTAAAGCTTTTTTGTGTACGTTAAGCAGGTAAATTAAATCCAAGAAAGCATAAGTTACCAAGAATTCAAATTAAATCAATATTTAACTCTTTGCAGTTGTTTAAAAAAATGAAAACACCATCATCTTGTCACAAAGAAAACACGGTGGAAAATACAATTTCTTCATTTCTGTACATGCAGGATGAGATCCCATAGAAGAGAATCTGCGTAGCACAAGATTGAAACATGGAGTCCTCGTTGCTCGTTTCTTTGCTTGTAGCCGTTTCATTACCCACAAACCATTGATCATTAACATCATCAGTGCCAGAGTGCAGAGGTTTGCTCCCTATTTATGTTTACCTATTAATACAGGTGGTTCTTGACTTACAACCATTCATTTAGTGACCATTTGAAGTTACAAGGGCACTGAAAAAAGTTACATACGAGCAGTCCTCTCACTTACAACCGTTGCAGTTTATGGCTGGTTTATGGCTGGTTTGTCTGAATGCCAGAAATTCCCCAGCATTTCTGGATTTGGCTTGGTCTAGGAGGGTCACATTTTCCCAGTTGAGACTGTGGTCGAGTCTGTCCGTGAGATTTAGGAGTTTTCATTGTGTCTTGTTTGCAACTGGGTGTTGTTCACGGATGAGTGAGCCTGCCTGTCCTACACAGCGGCTGTTACTCTGCATGTCCTAGGTGACTTTTTGTTTTTCTACTAGGATTACTTAGTTGGTTTCTGTATTATGGTGATGCAACATAAAGTACCTCAAGGGTTAGGGTTAGTACCTTACAGAGCTACATTAATGTTAGCTACATTACAGAACGCAGCTGCTGAGGCATAAGGTCACGGATAAGCTACAATCCACCCTCGAGTCCCACTGCCGAGGCTCCACAGCAAAGTACCATCAAATATTTGCACACAACAATTCATACTATCATACAGAACTACAATTTGACCTAAAGTTCAACCCTTCAGGTGGGCATCGCCATTGGGAAACCATGAAGTACAGAGCTATGGAAAATAAGAATTACTTGACTACGAGAACTAATTTTGCCTTTTCAAGGGTGGAAGGCAGAGAGGGCTGTATCTGTTCCAGTTTTCGGCAAGCAATAGCAAGATGGGACAAGTAGTCGAAGGATGCGGCCTTTTGCCTGTCCACCTTTGTCCAAAGTGAGTTAAGGTTAGGAAGGGCAGGAGATGCCTTCCCTCGCTGTCCAGAGTGCTGGAAGCAGCCTTGCCCATCACTCAGACACACAAGAAAAAAAAGCCAGTGTCAACAGAAGGCTCGAGTCTTTGCAGGGTCAGGCTTGCAGTTTGCTAATTTTCCTCAGTCGCAGTTTCATTCACTCCTCACTAAGATTTTTTTTTTTTGTGGCTGCTATAGCTGCTTTGACCACAGAATGGCATGGTTTTCTGACCCTTAGTATTAGCATTGAGGGCATCATAGACCTTTTTAACTTGATTTAAGACTTTTGAAACAGGATTCTCTTCTGTGCCTGTTCCGCAGCCCCCGAGGAATGGAAAACAGTGCCATCCTATATTGTCAAAGAAGGAACGGCAGCCTCAAAAAAATAATACCGTTACTCTTTTATTAGGATTTTAAGATTATTATTCTGTATCTTTATTATTAAATACCTTATTAATATTAATATGGCAACAGGAGGCCCACGGGCTGTCACATAGGCACAGAAGAAAGAATCCTGCTTCAAAAGCCTTAAACTGAGTTAAAAACATCTACGATGGCTTCAATGCTATTGCTAAGGGACAGAAAACATCCTGTGGTCCAAGCAGGTATAGCAGCCACAAAAAGAAAAAAGCCTTTTTAATGGAATTTAAAGATTATTATTATGTATCTTTATTATGAAAAGCCTTACTGATGTTAATAGGGCAACAGGAGGTCCACGGGCTGCACAGCCACAGAAGAAAGAATCCTGCTTCAAAAGCCTACGTTTGAGGTTAAAAAGCTCTACGATGGCCTCAGCGCTAATGCTAAGGGACAGAAAACAGTGCCATCCTCTACTCAAAGCAGGTACAGCAGTCACCAAAAGGGTTTCTTTTTCCAGCCACAGTACCTGTTTTGGCCACACGAGGGCACAGTTTTCCGTGCCATGACTTCAAAGTTATCGGTAAGGTGCAGAAAATTGTGCCATCCTATGGTCAAAGCAGGTATCGCAGCCACAAAAAGAAGGAAACCTTTTCGATGGCATTTTAAGATTCTTCCGTGCCAGGTCCGCAACCCTGGAGAAAACAGTGCCCTCCTGTGGTCCAAGAAGGAATAGCAGGCAGAAAAAGCACGGTCGCCGACTTTTTCCGTACCAGCGCTTCTCGGAGCGACCTTCCCAGCGTCAGCGCAACTTCCCGTCCGTCTCCTGTGCAACCCCCATCGCCGTTGGTAAAAAACGACCTTTTAACTTTCATTTTTCATTTTTATTTTTTCAGGGCTGCTCTGGGTAAACCTTTACCTTTACTCCAACCTTTCTTCTCCCCTTCTCTTCCTTCCTCTCTCTGCTCCTACTTCCTTCGTTCTTCCTAAGGGTCGAAGCAGGGATCGCAGCCACCAAAAGAAAGAAACTTTTTAAATGGAGTTTTAGGGTTGTTATTCTTTAATATTAAAACTTTATTAATATCAATAGGCAATCACAGGCCTCCTTAAGTCCGGTTAAGGCTTTTGAAGGGGATTTCTTTTCCAGTTCCTGTGTTGCAGCAAACGGGCCTCCCGTCGCTTTAATAAATATTAATAAGACGTTAACAATAAAGATACAGGATAATAACCTTAAAATCCCATTAAAAGGGTTTCTTTTTGCAGCCGTAGTACCTGTTTTGGCCACAGGAGGGCACAGTTTTCCGTCCCATGAGTTCAAAGTTATGGCTAAGGTGCAGAAAATTGTGCCCTCCTGTGGTCAAAATAGGTATCGCAGCCACAAAAAGAAAGGAACTTTTTAAATGGAGTTTTAGGGTTGTTATGCTATTCCTTCTTGGACCACAGGAGGGCACTGTTTTGTCCAGGGTTGCGGAGCCGGCACAGAAGAATCTTAAAATGCCATCGAAAAGGTTTATTTCTTTTTGCGGCCGCGATACCTGTTTTGGCCACAGGAGGGCACAGTTTTCCGTCCCGTGACTTGAAAATGTTATGGCTAAGGTGCAGAAAATTGTGCCATCCTGTGGTCAAAGCAGGTATCGCAGCCACAAAAAGAAAGAAACCTTTTCGATGGCATTTTAAGATTCCTCTGTGCCAGGTCCGCAACCCTGGAGAAAACAGTGCCCTCCTGTGGTCCAAGAAGGAATAGCAGTCAGAAAAAAAAACAAAAAACCCCTTTTTAATAGCATTTAAAGGTTAGTTTTAGTTTTAGTTTTAGTTTTAGTTTTAGTTTTAGGGTTAGTTTTAGGGTTAGGGTTAGTTTTAGGGTTAGTTTTAGGGTTAGGGTTAGTTTTAGGGTTAGTTTTAGGGTTAGTTTTAGGGTTAGTTTTAGTTTTAGGGTTAGTTTTAGTTTTAGTTTTAGTTTTAGTTTTAGTTTTAGGGTTAGGGTTAGGGTTAGGGTTAGTTTTAGGGTTAGTTTTAGGGTTAGTTTTAGGGTTAGTTTTAGGGTTAGGGTTAGTTTTAGTTTTAGGGTTAGTTTTAGGGTTAGTTTTAGGGTTAGTTTTAGGGTTAGTTTTAGTTTTAGGGTTAGTTTTAGGGTTAGTTTTAGGGTTAGTTTTAGGGTTAGTTTTAGGGTTAGGGTTAGTTTTAGGGTTAGTTTTAGGGTTAGGGTTAGGGTTAGGGTTAGGGTTAGGGTTAGTTTTAGGGTTAGTTTTAGGGTTAGGGTTAGTTTTAGGGTTAGGGTTAGGGTTAGGGTTAGGGTTAGTTTTAGGGTTAGTTTTAGGGTTAGTTTTAGGGTTAGGGTTAGTTTTAGGGTTAGTTTTAGTTTTAGTTTTAGTTTTAGGGTTAGTTTTAGTTTTAGTTTTAGGGTTAGTTTTAGTTTTAGGGTTAGGGTTAGTTTTAGGGTTAGGGTTAGTTTTAGGGTTAGGGTTAGTTTTAGGGTTAGTTTTAGGGTTAGATTTAGGGTTAGTTTTAGGGTTAGTTTTAGTTTTAGGGTTAGTTTTAGTTTTAGGGTTAGTTTTAGGGTTAGTTTTAGTTTTAGGGTTAGTTTTAGTTTTAGGGTTAGTTTTAGGGTTAGTTTTAGGGTTAGTTTTAGTTTTAGGGTTAGTTTTAGTTTTAGGGTTAGTTTTAGGGTTAGTTTTAGGGTTAGTTTTAGGGTTAGTTTTAGGGTTAGGGTTAGTT